ACAAAACTGGGGAGACAATAATTCACAAAACTCTGTAAAACATTACATGATAACATTGCACTGTGGCAGACCCATTAGTTTTTAAGTGCTTACTTACTTGGTACTCGAATAGAAGTGTGTTCTATATAAGGAGTTCAATCTGTTCGCGCTGGGTCCCTGTTGCCTTCGTGTACCGCCTCGGGCACTTGATCGGGGCCAATATTGCAAACATTTGCACACACTTGCTTCCCCCCTTGAAATTCGGCAGAGGGTACGTGGGTAAGTCCATTTTTGCAGAGTATTCGGCACACATCGTGGGCTTCTCTGCTGCCATTATCATGTAAAACAAAGTAAGGATACTCAAGTATACAATTACGCCTTAGTATACAGAACGAAATCATAGACGTTCGGGCACGACACCTTAAGCACATGACTGAAGCCAGTCAAACCCAAGCTCAACAAAGCCGAGCAATGTGGATGGGCATATCAGTCAAGCGCTCACACGCCAACAGACGCAAAGACTAACGTCTAGACGCCCTTTAGCATGTTCGGTATACGCGCTTATCAGTATGTTTCATGCCACATCTATCTAGCAATGTAGTGACTACTCTCACATCAACATTTTGTACGCAAGGAATTGAATCATCAACGAACAACTTATCATCGGAGTACGGATTGAGTCAAGTAGCTCTGACATTACCATAGATCGAATGGGCCAGACAAGACACAGCGTGATCGAAGCACCGGAAAGAATACGTAAGCCTGGCCAGTCACCTATAGGCTAGACAGCGCACTGTTGAACCGGACACACAAAGAAGACATTCAAAAAAAATCCGTGACAAGCTGAAAGAAGCGAGAGTCAGAATAGAAACGAAAACATTCACACGGAAACTCAGAGATATTACCAAACAAAGAAACAGGGAGAGGGTGAAAATAAAATAACCAATTACAGAAACTATAAAAGAAACGCAATTGGAACCAGAAGAAACAAAATGGAAACCACGGTAAACGAGATCGATGGGATTCAACAAAGACAACACAGTCAGAGAGCATTGTCGACCATCGGATAGTCGAGACTCCAGTCGAGAAATATCATCAGTACATGAT